AGAACTGACATTGCCATGACTTGTCCAATGGCTTTGAAAGAGCCATTACCCACAGCCTCAACATGGGGTCTAGGTGACAGACCGCTGTGTTCTGTGCCCTCAAATAAGTTGGTCTGGACAGCTGCAACAAATGCTATAGAAAATAATATTTAAAGAAAAAGTCTTCAAATGTATGCTAATCAAACAGACTTAGTTACAAGACCCATCTTAGTTCTATGTATGCTCTTGATATTTATGGAGGAAAATAAATTATTCTCTCCAGCTCAATTAAAGCTCAACAAAGGGACATATATTTATCTCCGTTAAATAACTGAGTTACAGCCACCCACACAGTGAAAAAATTCCTGAGGTTTCCCTGCATTCTGACAATTATTTTGGCAAAAACAGATTACTGAAATTAATGTCACTGTCTAAATTACCAGATAAAAACTCCTTCTGCAGCCCTCCAGTGTCTATCCCAGACTCTCCGAAGAATTGCACTTTCAACACACTCTCCAAACTTTTTTACATCTTAGCTGCCTGACGCCATCCCACAAAAGATCTTGTCTGTTAACTCTTACATTGATTTGTTCCTGTTGTTTAACTTTTCTGTAGAGGATGCTTAAGATATCATCAAGGCTGTGGAAAAATAATATTATATTTTGATACCAAATTAGGTTAATGTACTCAGGAATCACTAAAAAGCTAATCGGGTTAAGTAAAGGATATTAATTTTGACATATAGGAGTTTAAGGAGAAAAAAGCACTTAATTAGTCAATAAAAAAAGAACAAGAAAAATAAGCAAACAAGTAAGGAAAGAAAAAAAAACCAGGCAATATGCTTAGCCGAAAAGAAAAAAAAATGAAACAGACTTTGAGAGAGATGTGATAAGTATTTTACAGGGTATTTGTGATGGACTTGTTTTCCATCCCAGTAATGGTTCCCAGAGCAAAAAGAAAAGTAAACCAGCACTTGACAAGAAAGTATTATTGAATGCTTCAAAATTCATAACATTGTTGAGAACCAAGTTTAAAGTCAGATGGATTTAATGGATTCTCATTATTGAAATTAAAGGAAAACCTGCTGTAGCTTCTATGAAGAAGCATGGATGCAAAACATCCACTTTTCAA